GAGGAATTTCTTCTACATTGTAAAGATAATAGTTAGGGCCAAAATCTTTTTCAACTCTAGCTCGTTTACTCCTTCTTGGTTGGATTTGAGAATTTTCTTGTTCTTGAAAAACTTGAGAATGAGTAGAAGAGCTAGGCATAGATAAAATATTTTCAGATATTATTTGACCCCCACTATTTCTAGATTTGAAAGGAAATTTATTTTCATGAAAAATAGCATCACCTGATTCAAAAATAATATTATTTTCCATATCAAAAAATCTATAAGCTGTACTATGCAACGCATACCCAAGAAAAGCACAAGTGGTAGCTCGTTCACCCAATTTAGGTCGTTTAGGATCTGCAAGCCTCACAAAAGCTAAACAACCCCAAACCCTCAAACAACCTAGATTTGGTTTATGCCCCCGCCACAACTCATAAGGGACAATTTTAGTCTTTTTGTGTGGCACTCTATTTATCACATGGTAAGCTGTCAAAATAGCCTCACCCCAAAAATTTGAGGGAGCACCTGAATCAATAAGCATAGCATTCGTCAAGTCAATTAACGTTCTATTTTTTCTTTCAGCTACGCCATTTGATGAAGGTGAATATGGTGGAGTAGTCTCATGAATAATTCCCAATGACTGAACAAAAGAGTTGAATCCTAGAGATTCATACTCCCGGCCTCTATCACTTCTAATTCTTTTAATCTTTTTACCGAATTGATTTTTCACTTCAAGAAGGAATTCTTTAAATTTCTCAAAAGCATCACTTTTATTTTTTAATAAATATACGTTTGTATATTTTGAAAAATCATCAATAAAAGTGATAAAATATCGGTTACCACCCCGAGTTAAAATTCCTTCAAACTCACACAAATCAGTATGAAATAATTCTAGCAATTCGGTATTTTTTTCAACACTTTTATGAGGCCTCTTTGTAATTTTTGCTTTACTGCAAACTTCACATTTCTCAAAATTTTGTGTCACTTTAGGAATTAATTCTAAACTACTCATGATTCCACATATTTACTATTTATATGACACAAGCGAGCATGTCATAAATTAATAGAAGACAACATGTAAACCGAATTAGTAGATGGTTTATTAATCTCAACATTCAATTTGAACATCCCATCACAAGCATAACCCTTACCCACAAAAATACCCTTCTTGGTAATCACATTTTGATCAGATTCCATAGTTTGTTTAAAACTAGCCTTATTCAACAAATAACTTGACATCAAATTCTTCCTCATGGACGGTGTATAAAGCACATCTTTTAAAGTAAGCACACGTCCAGAGGTGAATTTTAGATCAACCTCACCACGCCCAAGTATCTTGGTTTGACTAGAGTCACCAAGCATAATTGTTTTCCCATCATCAAAGAAAGTATACACCTTGAACCAAGCTTGATCATAACAGACATGTCTATTAGCACCAGAATCTGCCCACCAACCGTCCACATAATTAACCATGCAAATGTCTGTAATCATTTTTTTCTTTCAGCTACGCCATTTGATGAAGGTGAATATGGTGGAGTAGTCTCATGAATAATTCCCAATGACTGAACAAAAGAGTTGAATCCTAGAGATTCATACTCCCGGCCTCTATCACTTCTAATTCTTTTAATCTTTTTACCGAATTGATTTTCCACTTCAAGAAGGAATTCTTTAAATTTCTCAAAAGCATCACTTTTATTTTTTAATAAATATACGTTTGTATATTTTGAAAAATCATCAATAAAAGTGATAAAATATCGGTTACCACCCCGAGTTAAAATTCCTTCAAACTCACACAAATCAGTATGAAATAATTCTAGCAATTCGGTATTTTTTTCAACACTTTTATGAGGCCTCTTTGTAATTTTTGCTTTACTGCAAACTTCACATTTCTCAAAATTTTTTGTCACTTTAGGAATTAATTCTAAACTACTCATGATTCCCACATATTTACTATTTATATGACACAAGCGAGCATATCAAAAATTAATAGAAGACAAAGTGTAAGTGGTGTCATAGTAATAATCATAAAATTAATCAGCAAGTAAATTTAAGAGATAAAGGCGACGTTTATGCTCATCTGTATTATATGAAGCCACTTTTGCTTCATGTGCCTCATAGTCTTCATCATTCATCTCCTCGGTTGGGATTTTGTTCGGATTCTTTTCTGTAAGAACATATGCAACTTTCAAAAGGCTAAGGTAAAAAAGAACTTTTCCTTTCCACCTCTTAAAATGAACTCCTTTGAACTTGAAATGTTTGTTGAGATCTCCAATTCCATCATTGGTTTTTTCTGGTACTTGTTCCATGGTTGATCTCCTTAAAATTGTTGGAGAAAATACCAGAAACTAAACAATATTATTGATAAATGATGCAAAGAAAATGAGATACAAATAGATCAGGCTGAGGCACGGATATCTCGTTTTCTTTAAGGAGATCAAGCCCACTGCGGTAGGAAGAATCCAAATACCGATGCAGCAGTCACAATACTATGACTTGTCCCCTCCAAGATACAACAGCCTGACCACTTGTCGTATGGTTCAGGCCAACTCTGCACAAGATGGTGAACCCAAAGCTCCACCAATAAAACACCATTCTTTGCTTGTAATCTCTCTTGTATAGAATAGTTGATCTCTATAGATAGAAAAGAGTAGACTATATATAGGCTATAAGGACCTTACAGTTACACTAAAAATAATAACCCTTAAACAAGAAAATGGTTACACCAAAATAATGACCATTAACCAGGTTCATGAATTCTATTTAACCTCCATTTATGACCAAGAGGTTACCAAAGTAATAAAACCCCATTTATGAAAAAGATAAACCAATAAATAAATATAAGATATTAAAATGGTCCAACACATCCAATGAGTGAATGAATGTCTCTGTAGGGCTCGGAACCCTTCCAAAAGGCAGCGGAAATTCTACATTACCCCACCTGCAGAAGTTAACGCAAAAGTTTTACAAAAATAAAAAATTTTAAGTTTTACAAAAGTTTTTTTCAAATATATATATATATATATATACTTTTTACATCTTTCTAATGGATCTAAAAAGTTTTACAAAAAAATTTAAAAATAAAAAATCATATAGATAAAAAAGTTAAGAAAAATGTGAGCTTTTATGTGGGATCCCAAACTCACCCTAAAATGTGAAAGAAGTAAAATTATTTACACGTTTTTATTACTACTTTAACCAACAACAAAAAATTAGATTATTTTTTTTACTATATCTTATTCTTCTTCTTCTTCTTCTATTCCCCGCACAACTAAACAATTAGAAGAAGAAGAAAAACAACAAGAGAGTTGATTGGTTTATAATTTTTGAATTGAGAGATTAATGGTATATCCTAAAAATTGAATATTTAAATGTCCTAAAAATTACAAAGAATTTAGTTGGTGGGTAGGGGGTGGGTGGGTTGGTGAGATAGTGTATATCCTTTTCATTTTGATTTTAATTTGGATTTTGATTATGATTATACCAAACTACCAAACCCCAGTTAAAAAACAAATAAAAAAAGTAGGTAGTATAGTATGGTTGGTAAATTAAGGTCAAACGATTGTCGAAACCAAATGGACGTGGGTGGAAAGACGCAAGTAGTGGAATTTTTTGCAACTTCTTGTTTGATCAGTTCTCCAAATACATGCTTGCCAACCTTCCTGTCTGGTCTAATATAATATTCTCACTCAGGTTGGTGGACCTTTCATGCTCATATACATAAATTATCATTATTACAAGCAAAGTTAAAATCATATTTAATATTATTTATCATCACTTCACTTCATTTTTTAGGTATATTCATACAATCAGGGCCGGACCTATAGTGGGACTGGGGGGTGCCATGGCCACCCCCGGTTTTGGAAAATTACGCTACTACCTCTATATTCATAGGTATTTGTAAAATGTATCATTAGATTGCCTCTTAATTTTTTGAAAATTATTTTACGAATTCTATATTTCATTAATTTTTCACAATGTATAATGAATTGATTTCTAACTATTTCGTATGTTGCTTAGTATCAATAAGATTTACACAATTTTATTTATACAGCAGGTGTATGTCACTTCTTTTTATTTTGATTTACTAGATATTGTCAACTAATAAAATGGCTTCATTAATCTTTCATGAATTTAGAAAATATTTTAAAGAAACAAAAAATATATATATATATATATATAGATTTATTTATTTTTTTATCATAAATATAAGAAATTACTCTCTATTAGTAATGTAACAACAAATTATTTTATTTTTTTTTAACACAATCACCTTGGCCCAGCAGAACATAATTTCTGAGTCCGCCACTGCATATAATAGATACTATGTATGTATGAAGTCCATCGTATTTAAAAAATAATAGAACTTCTCATCGTGTCACATGAGAAACTAGATAAGGATAAATAAATAATTTTGATAAAATATTTAAGTGATATATAGTAGTCTCTTTGTCAGTTGTGAATTTAAATCTTGCCATTAATGAAAAGACATGAAAGAAAAAAAGGACATCCAATGCTAAAAGCCTCACTTGACCCTGCTCGCAATCTCTTACAGTTACAGGACATCACAGACAGCATAAGCAAGCATGGAAAAGTGTCAGGATTTAGGAAGAATCCAATCCACAACAACAACAAGAAGAAGAATTTTAAAGCCTTGAAGCTTTAACTACGAACAATAATACCATATACTTCAAAAAAATATACGTCGTGATGGAGGGTTTGATTGTTGTTACTGTACCACTAGAGTCATTGCAACCAACCTCTGCCCTCCCCCTTTCCTCCAAACACCGCGAAGTAGTAGTGTCTTCCCAGCAATAAGGTCAACATCTTCACCTGAATGTTTAAGGTCTAACAGCACACCCATTGAACCATCCCCAAATCGAATAATCTTTGTTGTTGTTTTCCTTTTTCTCTGATTTCCTTCCACATCACTACTAGAGCTGCTGCTGCACCCTCCTGCTACTACTACTTGAGACTTTGAATCTCTCTCCTCCTCCTCCTCCTCATCAGCAGCAGCAACAACAGCTTCACACTTCTCTTTACCTTTCCTGGAAGAAGTATTTCTCTCTTTGGAGGGCAGAGGCCTGAAATTGGCATTGTAATTGTAAGTGTCCAGAAGTTCTTTTTGCTTCAATAAATCAGGACAGACTCTAGCCGGTTCTGAGACCAGATGTGAAAGCCCATATTGCCCTACATACCCCAAATATTCCGCTGCTGAAGTGACACCCTCACGAAACCCTGCAGTTGTGCAGTTGAAAGCCCGGTATTTCTCCTCATTGCACTCTAATGCAACACCAATCATTTCCACCAAAGACTTGTTTGCAGCCTGAAGGTCTTGCAACTCATGCTTTTGTGTTGCAAAAACAGAAGCAAAAGTAGGAGAAGAAGAAAATTTTTGTTTTTTGGCACAGAGCAAACTGTGTTGTGGTGGGAAGAGCTTGTTGGAGCAGACAAAGGACTACTTGTGCTGCATGAAGAACTTGTGGATGTGGCTGGTCTTGCTTGAACTAAACTTGTGTAACTGGATTGTATTGGTCTGATAGGCATGGCTCAATTATTATGACATGTAGACGATGATGCAACACAATTTGGTGAAGAACCAGGACTTGGATAAGTAGATGATGGTTGATGCTAACAAAAAAAGCTGCAGGCGAAAACTGGGGTGCAAGTATTGCCATTGCATCATTAGTAGACCCATCACATACCTTAGAATCAATTGTAATCTGTGACATGAGACCTCCATGATCTTTTTTTATCATGTTTCTGAAACACAAAATGAGACAAATAATTCAAAAAATCGAAAAATAAATATAAATAACCAAATGGATGAAATTCAGTTCATAAGCTGATAACATATTGCGATCTCATGTAGTTACCTTCAGTTTGCATTCAGACGAGAAGACGATGAATTTTTTGGCACAACAGTCTCCTTCCTCGCAAAGGAAATGGCAATCATCAAAATGTTTCTGTGATATAAGATAAAAGATGTTAACATACAAGATGATTCTTTGTGATATTAACATTTGGAAACGAGAAGGAAAAAAAAAAAAACTAAGTCATAAAATTACCTCTAAATCATCATAATCCTTGTACTGCTGGCATTGTTCTGGATCCTCCCTGCATTGGTAGAAATATAGACATAGTAATTAAATACACTTGTATTGAATTGAAGAACTAAGAGTACATAAATAACGCTTTGTTTGGCTTAAAAAACAGAGAAAATAGTGCATATTGTTAGTATATTATTATATGTTAATGTTTAGCTTTAATAATTAGTGTCTCCTTGCTTTATGCTTTCGGTGCCTCAATTGGCATCCGATGTTGTCTTCTCCTCTCTATAAAGAGAGTGTACACCTCTTTGTAAAGATACACAGAAATACACAGAAATATAGAGTTATTCATTTTCTCTCTGCTCTCTCTTCTCTCATATTCAATATACACAATTCTCTCTCTTTCTTTATACATAAAACTAATTAACATGGTATCAAAGCGAGGTTAAGAACTTAGTAATTCCGCTTCACTGGCGTGTTTAGCTTTAATAATTAGTGTCCCCTTGCTTTATGCTTTCGGTGCCTCAATTGGCATCCGATGTTGTCTTCTCCTCTCTATAAAGAGAGTGTACACCTCTTTGTAAATATACACAGAAATACACAGAAATATAGAGTTATTCATTTTCTCTCTGCTCTCTCTTCTCTCATATTCAATATACACAATTCTCTCTCTTTCTTTATACATAAAACTAATTAACATGGTATCAAAGCGAGGTTAAGAACTTAGTAATTCCGCTTCACTGGCGGGCGGCAGCCTCGCCTTGGCCGTCCGCTGGACAAACCCAAATTTTCTAATTTCTCTCTCTGCAGACAGCTCTATTTCCCTTCTCACTGACCACGGCTTTGCTTCATCTTCTCAGCCACCACATCTGCACCGATCCACCTGCACTGCCATGGGTGATAGAGAGAGGGCCATTGTCAATCTCTCTCTCTCTCTCTCTAGTTGATGGAGGACACAATGCTGGTTCTACCATTAGAACCATTACTAAACACCGTCTTCTTCTCCGATATGCCGGACTCACAGAGACCAACCTAGCTCTCTTATTCTTGAAGATCGACCCAGCGCTCTTCGTCTTCAATCGGAGCTCCGCTGCCAAACCTAAAGGCAACCGTGACCAGCTGGTTGTGTAACTACCAAAGACTACTGCCATTTACATGCAAGTCGTCGTAGCTCCAAGCAATGTCGGTTGCTCACCAGGCCAACCCAGCTTGCCGCCATTCTAGATCTCGTCGTCATCACCGAGGATGAGTCACTGTTACTGTTATTTCTACAGACACTGTCACGCTGTGACCCAACCGTGACAGACCAGAGACCAAACCCTCCATCTCCAACCTTCATTTCTCTCTCTCATCCCCTTTTCTGTCATCTTCGTCTCTCATGCTTGTATCGACGCCGTCGTGACTCTATTGCCTCCATGATATTCAGATCTCTCACCACGGTGGTTGTCGATCTATCTGCAATCGTACCACCAAATTTGTGCCAGCTCGACCTCTCCGTAAAGCTCTTCGTCGAACACTAGCCGGAGATCGAATCGATCTTCTCGTTCGAATCAACCTCTACCGTTCGATTCGAACATCAGACTATCCTCCGCTGTTGAAATCATCATTGTAGGAGTCTTACTTCGATTCATCAGAGTTCGACGATTCTCCGACATCGGCGATATCTCGCTGATTCACGTGGCTTAATTTTGTTCTCCTCTGTAAACTCGATGATAAAGCAACAGACCACTACAACCGAGCTCTCTCTCTCTACTCAAGGACACCCACCACTATGTCTACTTTCCAACCCATCATCCACCACCTTTTGCACACCCATACCCCTTTTTTTATTTTTAAACCAATCTCCACCAGCACAAAACATGCTCATATGCATACCCAGCTCTCTCTCCACTTTATCACATGGGCTTGTCCCCTCTCTCTCCTCCTATCACGTTTGATTTCAAAATCAATTATTTTTATTTGTTTTCTCCAAACTACTTTTACACTTTTTTAAATACCCACATTTATTTTTCTTTCCCATCATTTCTTTTAAACTTTTCTTTCCACCACTCTCTTTTAATATTTCTCTTTAGCAACTGCATTACTGAATGATGGCTGATTTTATTCCAAAAAAAAAAAAACCATTCACAACCAACTCGGTTTTCATTCCCCAACATTTCTTCATGCCGGGATCAACCCCGATCACAATTTTACACCACAACCGAAAATAAAATAAAAAAAAAAACCCTTTCTATCATTTTTTTTTAACATCTTCACTCTGTGTTGAACTATTTTGCTCCACTTTATTAATCCCTTTGTTTCAACCTCCAATAGGTTTCTATCTTCACACCTATTTGAGTTTGAGGGGGAGTTATACATATATCATGGTGAGCATGGTTACACACCATGCGAAACACCCAAGCTGATGAACATGGTTATATACCATGGGAACCACCCAAGCCACCCCATGGCGCACTTCCTACGTCGCCTCCTTGGTGCACCACCAAAATTTGCTACAACGGTCCGGCATGACCCCGTAAACTGTCCCGACATTGATTCCGGTTAGCTTCTACAACGGTCCGGCATGAACCCGTAAACTGTCCCGACATTAATTCCGGTTAGCTTCTACAACGGTCCGGCATGACCCCGTAAACTGTCCCGACATTGATTCCGGTTAGCATCTACATCGGTCTGGCATGAACCCGTAAACTGTCCCGACATTGATTCCGGTTAGCTTCTACATCGGTCCAGCATGACCTCGTAAACTGTCCCGACATTGATTCCGGTTAGCTCCTACAACGGTCCGACATGACCCCGTAAACTGTCTCGACATTGATTCCGGTTAGCTTCTACAACGGTCCGGCATGACCTCGTAAACTGTCCAGACATTATCTGCTACAAGCTTCTACAACAACCATACAGTGTCTTCTCCAACGGTGTGACACGACCATACCGTGTCTTCAACAACGATTTGACACAACCATACAGTGTCTCCTATCCTATTTTATTTTATTTATCAGTTTACTTTCCTGTTTTGTTACTCTCTCCAAACTCAAGTTGGTTAGTACCTATCCTCCTTGAGTTTGAGGGGGGTTGTTAGTATATTATTATATGTTAGTGTTTAGCTTTAATAATTAGTGTCCCCTTGCTTTATGCTTTCGGTGCCTCAATTGGCATCCTATGTTGTCTTCTCCTCTCTATAAAGAGAGTGTACATCTCTTTGTAAATATACACAGAAATATAGAGTTATTCATTTGCTCTCTCTTCTCTCTTCTCTCATATTCAATATACACAATTCTCTCTCTTTCTTTATACATAAAACTAACACATACCTCGAACACAAATGACATCAATCTATAGTGTTCCATTGACATGTACGAACATAACACTATAGGAAAATGAGGATTTAACGGCGTTTAATTAACGACGTTTAGTTAAACGTCACTTTTTTTGATAATTAACGGCGCTTTTTAAACGTCGCCTTTTTTGTTAGGTAAAACGACACCGTTTCGTAAATAGAAGACGTTTAAAAAACGCCTCCAAACCCTGTCTCTCTTCACACCCTCTTCTATCTCTCTTTTATTTTGAAAACCCTATTTTGAGCACTGCCGTCTCCTTGTCACTCACTCAAATCTCTCACTCACTCTTTGCTCTCTCTCTCATTCAAATCTCTCTCGATTCTTCTTCAGTTCGGTGATTCATCTCGGGATTGTGATTTTGAAGTTCGATTTTGAGCATAGATCGGTGATTCATCTCCGTGGATTTGGAGCTCTTAGTCTTCTTCGATCAGAGGTTAGTTGCTCTCTCTTTCTCTCACTCAAATCTCTCTCGATTCTTCTTCAGTTCAGTGATTGTTCTTCGATTCTTCTTCAGTTCAGTGATTGATATAGTGTGTTATCGTAGATTTGGGCACAATGAGATGGATGAGCCGTCTTTCACACAGCCACATATGTACAAGGTTAGCCTTATTATATATTTAGTTTTCTAGACCTTACCGCTCTTGTTAGAATTGGGGTTGCAAGCTTAATTTTGTTAGTTGCGGATTTGTTTCTGGTTATGACACTACATCTATTATTAACATCTATTTGAATTTAGTGAGTAATTTTTTTTATATTTGTAATGTGGAATGGGTGCTGATAGGTCATCCAGAATCACCCCTCAACACTTGAGATTTATGAAAAAAAACTTTTAGAATCTGGTGAGCTGATGAAGGAAGACATATCACCCTTTGAATCTGTGTGATGTGTCTGTGCATCCTCTATAATTGTTTTTTGTCACTCAAAAGTTAAGTTATTTTATGATGTTCTGGCAGTCCTGAAGTCAAGACTAATTTTACATTCTATGTCTCCTCGTATTATGTTAAATTGCCACAGATGAGTTCTCTTTGATTGCTAAATCCACAACGCATTGTTTGAAAGAGATAGTCATGATGCATTGTCCATCAGCAGAAGCTATGTGCACTAAGCGCGACCTTTTTATCTTTTTTATTTTTATAAACATGATGTGTAAAGGGAATGTTCAAATCTTTGGGAGCATGTGATACTGTTTTTGCTGAGAACATGGTTGTGCCCCTGTTTTTTCTGAGAACTTGATGCTGCATGCATTTTGTTGGATTGAACTGCATACATATATTGTTACATTGGGGTGTGCGCTTTTTTTTTCTTTTGCTTTTTTAGTTGGGACAAGGCTGAGCTTAGTTTACATTTTTTTTTTCTTTTCTTTTCTTTTTGTGGTTGACCTGAAGTTGTAGTTCAATTACAACACATCCCAATGACAACCAAAAAAAAAATGAACTGTCAAATCAACAAAAAAAAGACTAATTGAAGTTGTAGTTCAATTACAACACATCCCAATGACTAAACACTCAGCTTAGTCTACAAGCCCATTACAACACATCCCAATGACAACAAGGTCCATCTTTTGTCAAACGAAATTGTCAACACTCAACTTTACCTTACCTAAATCCTATAACATAGGTGTTTGTGTAGAACATTATTTTAGCTATTATATCAATTTGTCCTGTAACATATATTACAGATCAGATTCATTCGAGTTGAGAGTGATTAGGAAAATGATGCTCTGCTCCTTATTCACTTCTTGTTTGTCAAATGAGCTCCAAAAAGCTGAGCCTGTGGTTGGTTGAATAATGGCAAGGTGAGCCTGAAGGAGGTTGGCAACCTCACTTTAGTTCAAATCATTCTTGTTGAAATTTTCTCATTTGACTTATCAGGAGAAGAAACTGATGGACAATATTCGCCAATATCAAGTTCCACTGCAGAAGTACATGGCCATGATGGACCTTGAGGTGCCTCTTTAGTCTACATCAATCCCCAGTTGTGAATTTGAAGCTGATTGGTGCATATGTGTTGTGTGCTTAGATGCTGCTTGGATATGAATTGATTTTGTTTTAATTAGCATCTGGAGGAGCATTTACTCTCATACTTATGCTAATTTTGATATTTCAGTTACCCTTCAATCTTCATTTCCCATATCATTGTAATCTCTCTTGTTCTGTTCTTTTCCCAATAGCTTTTTTTAAACTTTTTTTATAGCCCTTTTCAGTGTGTGTTACAAACCGCTTTTTTTAAATTTCTACTTGAAAGAAGGGATTCTTGCTTTAAGATACTAGAGAAAACAAAAGCATGTAATTGCATTTAATGTAGCCTTTGAAAGTAATAAAAATGGATGTGGGAAATGGGAAATTTCTGTCCTTGTTGTTTATTTTATTTTATTTATTTTAAATCTTTTGTTCTTTCTAATTGCTTTGGTTTACAGGAGAGGAATGAAAAGGCTATTTTACAAGCTTCTTATTGATAATGTTGAGGAACTTCTTCCTGTTGTCTACACTCCAACTGTTGGCGAGGCTTACCAGAAGTATGGGAGCATTTTTTAGTGCCCTCAGGGTCTTTATATTAGCTTGAAAGAGAAGTATGACTTTCTTTCAGCTGTACATGTTTCCTTTTTCACACCTCACGTTAGTAGAATCCTCATGCACTAGGTCATTTTTGTAAGTAGTATGTTACTTTTGCAGAGGAAAGATTCTCGAGGTATTGAAAAATTGGCCTGAAAAGAACATTCAAGTTATTGTCGTGACTGATGGTGAGCGAATTTTGGGACTTGGGGATCTTGGCTGCCAGGTGAATGTTCATTTTCCATTTTGTTTTAGTACATAGATAATTACCTTCCAAATGCATAATTATTTTTTTTGTTCATCAGCCAAATGCATAATTAATTGTAAAAACCAAAAGGTAGAGTATTTACATGACAGTTTTTTCAGTGGTTCCTTGTTCGCATTAGTTATGGTACTAATCTAATACATATTTATCTTCTTCCTATGTATTAATTGGAATGTGTCTCTGTCTATTAATAGGCAGGCATTTAATTCAGATGGCTTGTTGTGGCAAACGCCTGTTAAAATGCATTTGTAGCTAATAACAAGCTTAATTTTTATCAGGGGATGGGGATACCTGTTAGAAAACTGGCTCTGTATACAGCACTTGGCGGAGTTAGACCTTCTTCGGTAAGTGTCACCAGCTAATCATATACAGTTGTAGATGCTCATTTTAGTATATCTTATTTGAAACCTTTACTTCAGTACCGATGAAACTGTGTTAATATGTGTGTTTAATTTTCAGTACTGTGTCAAGAAGTAAATGCCATGCTTTAGTTGTCAGCTTGACCATATAATATTGATTGGTTTTAGTGCTATCCTCTCCTTTTTACCATTTTAGTAACGATCTGTTTACTTGCCTGTGCAGTGCTTGCCCATAACCATTGATGTGGGGACAAACAATGAGCAGTTGTTGAAAGATGAATTCTACATTGGGCTCAGACAAAGGAGGGCAAGTGGGAAGGTCCAATAGTTTTAGCATTTTATTGTGTTTAGTTTCAAGCATTAAGATACATTATGTAATTCTCTTTAATACTGAGGCAGTTTTGTCAAATTGTATTCCAGGAATATTATGACCTTCTTCATGAATTCATGACTGCTGTCAAGCAGAACTACGGTGAAAAAGTACTCATACAGGTGGATTTGCATCCTTAATCTGAAAAAATTTCAGGGCCTGATCTTGTTCTTGCAGTTCTAATGTTGGTTTGATTTGCTACCAATGCTTTACAGTTTGAAGATTTTGCAAACCACAATGCTTTTGAGCTGCTAGCGAAATATAGTACTACTCATCTTGTCTTCAATGATGATATACAGGTATGTGATAATATGGTCGTCTTTCAAATAACCTTGAGGAATCCCATGTTCTTGTCTTAACTTTTTTTTTCCCCACTTTTGCAGGGGACAGCAGTTGTGGTTCTTGTAGGGCTTGTTGCGGCGCTGAAGTTACTTGGTGGATCCTTGGCCGAGCAGACATTTTTATTCCTTGATGCTGGGGAAGTGAGACTCTAATCTGTCTTCCTTCTTTTACACTATAAACCTATTTTCCTCTAGGAGCCACTGGACAGAATTCCATCTCTTTACTCAAAAATGTCTCTCACTTCTAGTTTCTTCCAGTTGTTTTCAGCACTCCTGATTTTGTTGCATCTCGTTGTTCTATTATGATGCAAATATTATGCATTGTTCTGTGTTGTTAGGCCTATTGCAAAATCGATGGAGTTCAAACAGATGTTCTCATCAGTGGAATTGCTGCTCAGAATAGAGCTGTAAGCCTGGGGTTGCTTTTTCTAGTGATGTTCTAAATGAAGTGATGTTGACTTCAATTGTCTGCATACCTTTTGTACATTGTGCATTTAATGGATATAAAGTGATAGGAAGTTAACTCACTAATCTTGATTTGTTTGCTTTCTGTTCCTTCATCAGCTGTATACTGTTAATCATTGGCAGTCCCATTTTTTCTTTAATTCATTGCTGGATTTCGGTATGCTTTTATATTCAAGTACATTTATGGTTATTTGCATGCTTAAATTTTGTAGTTCCATCAACTTGTTTTGCTTACTTCTATGTGACTCACTAACCGATTCCTTGTGTATGCCTTTTTCTTTATATCCAATTTGATGATCAGAAAGTAGTTACCATATTCAGGGAAGCAAGAATAGAATTATGTTGATTGGATGCACTTTAAACTATGTCAAGGTTGATGGAAAAATAGTTGTCCATGTACATTAATGATTTTTAAGAGGCAATTTTTTCCACCTTTTCAAGTTTCATCATTGCTAGAGCTGTAGGGATTATGAGTGTGGAGTCCCATGTTAGCCCTCTGAGTGGTTGAAGCTGCTATTAGGATTGTGAGTGTGGGAAGTGGTTCTTCTTGCATCATTTGACTATTTGGGACAATAATCCTTTTTATACTGGGTATGGTCTTTGTATTGAAAAACATTTGTTGAGAAGGTCATTCTTAGGACAGATAAGGTTGACAGTCGGCCTCAAGGATTTAGGGAAGAAGCTTTTCTTTATATAGCCTTCTGCAGCTTGAAGCAATAGTTCAATTTTAAACTGTTTGATAAAGATCATGGGGAGGACTGAGTGGGTGTTGGTAATGGAAAAAGGGTTTTTCATATCTAATAATAAATTAGGTACATTTTCATTTTCTCTTATTAATACAATGATGTGGTGGAAAATCTTCGGAAAGACCATGGTACTCTTGTGGGAAATCTATCTGATTTTTGTTTTTGTTTGTTTGTTTTGATTTCTGATTGCAGGGAGTATCTTTTTCCCATGGCTGACATTGTAACTCCAAATTTAAAAGAAGCATCTGCTTTACTTGGTGGTGTTCAATTGGAAACAGTCGACGACATGCGTTCTGCTGCAAAATCTATCCATGACATGGGTCCACGGTTAGTGCTTTGCATTTGAGTTTTTATTCTTTTTGAGTTAGGCTTATCAGAAGCTGCCAAACTTTTCCACAATCCCTCCAAAAGTAGGAAAAATTATATTTCGACACCTTGTTGTTTGGCACCAAGTCACTTTAGCGTTGAATTTACTGACATGACACTTATCTAGTCTTTGTGAAGGTAACTGACACGTCACCTTTCTCATGGATTTAGTAGAGTCTATTAGTAGAAGTTTGGGCAATGATAAAGATATGAATGCCAATTGTGATTTGTGAGAGGGAGGTTTAAGTGTCATGCTAGGCACTGTGAGAGGCAGGTTTAACTTTGAGTTTGCATAGTCAATGTGTACATATGGGCTTGCTCTTTTATTTCTTAGAGCAGATTTGTTTTACAAAGACTAGACAAGAAGAAGAATTGTAATTCGTAACAGCTTTGTTTTTGTTTTCAGAAATGTACTTGTCAAAGGAGGTGACCTCGCTTCTTCATTGGATGCTGTTGATATTTTCTTTGATGGTATGCTTAATGTATTTATTGGGGTTTTTGAGTTGTAACTGTGTGTATCTTTAGGCGGTGTCTTTTGCTAATTTGATTTCTTGATTTGATCTTCTAGGAGATAATTTTTATGAGCTGCGTTCACCACGCATAAGAAATCGGAATACTCATGGAACTGGCTGCACTTTGGCTTCATGTATAGCAGCTGAGCTTGCAAAAGGTTCTTTAATGCTATCAGCTGTTAAGGTAATCTATTATATGTTTGTATTTCTGGAACTTCTAACAGTTATGTGTGCATTGCACCAACAAAATAAATAAGGCTGCAATTTTTGTTTTTGAATGTAATAATGGTGGTTTTGAGTTCAGTTTCACTGTTGACATAGACCCAAGTTACATCCAAAGCTTAATTAATCACTTGATTAAGCTTATTGCCCTCACTCAGTCAAACCAGAAAGATAGAGTGGCATTTTCAGCAGATAACTGGCCTATAACTTAATATATGAAAAGACCTTTGGCAGGGTAAAAAAAATTGAATATAGATCCATATAGCGGGCTCCATATTCAGGATTGCTTTTGTTGCCATTTGCTTTGTGACATTTGTCATTATCTGACTGATGCACTATTTGACTGCTCATGTTTACGTGTTTTTTGAGTTAATGTTCTTGAATGTTGTTGCTTGTTCTTAAAATATTAAATATGTACCTTGGGGAAACCGTTTTTGCCTTTCATTTGAAACAACAAGGGGTCAAAATTCAAGGAAATGAAACATGCAATTTACTTAATCGGTCATGTGACTAATTTTGGACATTTTACCTGGCAATACTTTACATTTACATTGTTACCAGATGCTTAAAACGAAGATTACTATTGTTATTCACCCAAAAAAAAGATTACTATTGTTATTATGGTGGTTCATATTGTTATTTATTGAAATAAATGAAAAAACCAATTTGAACCTAGACAGAGTAATTTGATTATCACATTGTCTGAGCTTGAGGGATCATTTATCAATTCACTTTTTGCAGATGATTCATGTTGTAAAATCAGATTCCAGACTTGCAAATAATGATCTACCTGTTGATATCCAAAGGTTGAGATGTCGTGCTCTGTGTTATTCAAAGCGGACCTCAACCTGCTACACTTGAGGGCAGCATTTCACGAGCATATCAGTGATGTTATGGGTGCCTTGTGAGACTATCGAGTTGCTATCTCTGTTGACCCAAACCATGAGATACTGGAACTTCACAGCAGTCAAGAGCCATGAACCCCCAAAACACAAAATAGAATAAAAAAAAAATGGGGTTTTTTTTTTATTTAAAATTTTAAATATTGTGTCACCATTGTATATTTTGTGAGCATGTGCAATGTAATGTCCATGTTTATCTTCTTTATAATTTTTTGGTAATCAATATCATGGACTGTCGTCACCACTGTTTCCTTCATACTTTTCCAAATGGCATGGATTCATCAAGAATCAACACTTAAAACTACGGTAGAGTGAGTGTTAATTTATTTAGGAATGGATCAGCTATTGCATGGATTTAACTTATTGGATTTTTTTCTTGAAGGATGTTGTATTGGGTACTATTATAGATGTGAGGGAATAATAATCTCACAGAAATATGTCTGTACAAAGTTTTATTCATTATTACTATTTTACAGGTATATTTTTAAAGTTAAATCTTACAAAATTAGTAGTTAAAAAAAAAGGAAAAAAATCTATTGCGGCGTTTTTCAAAACGTCACTATAGTTATATTTTTAAAATAATAAAAAAGCTATTACGACGTTTTTGAAGCGTCGCTGAATGCCTGTGTGACGTCATGTTACCGTTGGTTGCGACATTTAAACGCCGCCTATACTAATTTTACGACGTTTTTAAAGCGTCATAAACTTATAGCGACGGCCGCATCCTCGACGTTTGGTGATAAGCGTCACTAAAGGAATTAGCGGCGTTTTTCATACATATAGCGGCACCGCTAAAAGTCATTTTTCCAGCAGTGTAACTCACTGTTCCCATAAAATGCCTTCTTGCAGAACTCACACTTATGATGCCCAATGAAACCACCTCTTTCAAAGAGGTCACCCCCATCTGCTTCGAAGTCACCTGTGTCCACTTGTTTATTCAATTGCGCTCTAGTGTATAGTTTCTGTTCACTAATAAATACCTGCATATCCATGGCATCGATCACTGCTCAGTATGATAATGTAATCACAACAGCAACAACAACAATCATGAGATGCCATATATCTATGTAAATGTTTAATAAAAGAAAATTCTTACGCTAAACAGACCCTAAGGATGGGGATCATCTAAAGTAATTGAAAATGATTCACTTACAAAATATGATAGTATACCTTTTTTCTTTCCAAACAGAGACGGCACATGAACAGTCTATGCTTGTGAAACAAATGACTTTCGAGTTGAACAAGGCTCTTAAACTTGTCATGTGCTGCTTTTGGTCTGCAGTTGCTATGGTCTATCTTGTCACAGACATTACATGAGAGACAACTACACATTGCTTTGATCATCCTGTAGTGGTCTGAGTCGTCAAAATAGGCATCTAGGTGTTCCAAGTACCAGTACGACCCGACCCGAATTTGGATTGGTAGGCAATATTGAGAAGTCACTTATCATTCTTGCATACTCTCCCAAAGCCTGTACAAAAGAAAAATAAATAAATCAGATCAAATCAATCATAACAAAACAAAATTAAAGAAACTGGGCTTTATTGTGAGTACTAGTTAATATGTGTAGGCCAAGAAAAGAATCTTCTCTACCTAAAATCTTTTGTTTACTTGTACTCAAATGCAATTTCAAAGATACCAAATATTAAAATTTTTGAAATACAAAGAATCTCAAAGTACAGAAAAATGGATATTGGAAAAATCCCGTGCCAAATTTATAATCTATTCTATTATATAAAACGCACACAACTTAAATAGTTTTGATACTCTGTCACACTTTTTTTCCCCTTATAATGCCCACATTGTTAATTGGCAATAACTATTAGCAGCTTTTATAAATTCAACTCATCTTATTCATTCATCAAATAAATCACATTTACACCCACTAGTAATAATGCATGCACAAGATTTTTTTTGACATAACAAGAGTACAGAGAGAGATACATAGATGCAAAAGTATGAAAAGAAGAAGAAGAAGAAAAAGGTTCTAGTATAGTAGTATTAGTAGTAGTAGTATTAAGTAGGACGTAGGTAAGAAGGTAGGTACCCGGGTGACGAAGATGAGAGGGGTGGGAGTGTTGAAAATAGAGCAGCGGGGGTTGCTGCAGAGATAACGGAGGCGGACAACGCAGGTGGAGCAGACATCACGGTGGCTGCACAGTCCGTTTGCCGCCCACTCGAAATTCTAGGCGCATACAGCACCGATATCGTCCATAATAATAACTAGTACTATACTATAAATAATACGAGACAACACAATTCAACACAACACAACACGACACAAATATTCTCAGTAATCATCAATAATGGTTTCAGTTTTTTAAATTAAGTTTTTTAAAAATTGAATTTTTAGATTTTTGTAGTTTTTTTTTGTTTTTAGTAAATATTTTTAACATTTTTTTTATTTTTTTAAATGCACCTTACTACGATATATCTAAAAAGTAAAAAAATTATGAAAAAATATTTCAAAAAATTAATAAATACATAAAAATATAAAAAAATATACTGAATTCTCGTATTTTTTTATATTTTTGATATTTAGTAAATTTTTAAAAGTTTTTTTCACAAATTTTTTATTTTTTAGGTACATTTATATTAGATATGTCTAAGAATAAAAAAAATTACTTAAAATATTAAAGAAATTCAATAAAAATAAAAAATATATATAAAAAATAAGAAGGTAAAATTTTTTAAAAAGTGTTTTTAATACTGTGAGGGTTGTAGCTATCTAAATCCAAAGTTGGGAAGGACTTCTCCTCCCCACCCGACTTTAACACAAGAATCAAACCACTAACAATATAGAAAATAGAAAGTCCCTTGAGAGATTTTATTCCACACTGTTTTTAATATGCATATTGTTGGTGATAATTATAAATAAAATATCAAAAAATAAAAAAAAAATTATAATAACTATTGTAAGGGTTAAGGCGCGGGAAATTCACTCTTTTTAAAGAGATTCCAGCCATCTGCGGTTAAGTAAAGTCTCACACCAGAGCAGCAGAAAAAACCATGACTTGTCCCTCCCAGGATACAATAGCCCGACTAAGTCGTATAGTTCACCAACACTGCACAATTGATTGAACCCAAAGCTTTACACATACACCATTTTTTATTTACCTGATAATCTCACAAAAAAGAAACTTTAGTTACTAATAAGAGAGGTGAAAAGCTCTGTCACGCCCCAAGCTTCGTGGCAACGCCGCACACTCATTTAAGTGAGCATGTAAGGCTAAGACCCACAATGTAAAATACTCAAATTAAATCCTTAAATATCATAATGCTAAAAACCATACAAATATATAATTCTTATCATATGAAATTGTCCACCAAGTCCACTAATAAATAAATAAATAAATAATCCAAGTACTTAAATCATTACTCTCGGCACTCCCACAAGTACAAACTCCGCGCAGCTCTACTCCTCAGAATCTGAAAAAAAATAAAATAAGGGTAAGGTAGACAACCCAGTAAATAACCAACCATCACTGCTAGATGAATCAAGTATACAAAAAAAAATAGATTAATAAATAGTCGATAACCAATGAATATAATTTTTGCTACAATTCAATAAATGAACAATTATTTGTAAGATGGTTTCATAACTAAAAATAAACAATGTACAATATATTTTAATTGAAAAGCCAACAAGATAATTCAAAGTAAATTCGTTGTTCAAATCGATGGCTCGATATTCAGATGGTTCAATGATTTGATTCACAAAACCCAAGTCTTGGTGACTACGGTCGCTTAGCCTGTGACAAGACCCAGAACCACACATAGGCCGGTGGTAAAGCCCCAAAAGAAACTAGTTTCTATGCCAATAAATAACCATTGGCTAGGGTCCAAATCATAGTCAGACTAGAGTAATGTTCAAAATTCAAACAATACACAATTTTTAAATAAAATATTCGATATTTTCAGAATAAACATTTGGTACAATTTTCAGAATAGT